AAAAATGACGGAAATCTCCGAGATGAAAACACTGGCTCTTCAGTTTCTAGACATGTTTATCAGCAGAACTCAAGAGATATCATCGTTTTAGCAGTAGATATTATTATAAAGTGCTACAGTACATAGTGGTGCAAAATTATTTAAATATGTTGCACCAACCTCCTTGGTTGCACTTAACCACATCACAACATGTAATATACTGTATTTTAATAATTAAATATTTTTAGAGTTTTATCACCATTTGCAACTACAACTCTCTGTGGATAATATGAAATGATGGATAACCCCTTTGGATTATTGATTCCATCAGCATATTTGTCCATTCTTTTTATGAAATTTCCATCACTACTGAATAATTGTAGTTTGTTTTCACTTGCTATGATGATGTTGTCATCCTTATCAACTACAAATCCACATGGATTCTTCACCTTACCATTTTTTTCACCCGTGTTGACAAGGACTTTCATGGACCTTCCCTCATGATCAAATAGTTCTAGTTGGCTGTTATTATACTCTAGTACAAGAAGATGCCCTCTTTTTGTAACATGAAAATCACTGATTCCAAGATGACATTTTTTGATGCCTAGCGAGTGTATCTCCCAGATCAACTGCCCATTATCAGTATCAAAGAGGAACACCGAGTCATTACTATAGTCAGCTACATACACAACTTTTGATGCCTCTTCTACCTGTATTACTTCTGGAAACGTCAATACTCCTTGATCAATTGATTTTATTATGTGACCATTTATGGTACATACTTTAATGCATTTATCAAAACAATCACTGAATGCTATGTTACCATTTTTCAGTTTATGCATTCTGTTAACATGTGTGTTTGGTGGTAGCATAACCTCACCAACATATTCTCCCGATTGCTTGTATTTCAGTATTTTATTTGTCCTACATGAAACAAACAAACAATCATCATACTTAACTACATCTCGTACATTTTTGTTTATTCTAATGGTATTTATTAATCCTTTAATAGGGTGTGGCCATCTTGTCTTCTCAATTTTTGCTTGTGTTTTGAACTTATCATGTTTGGTTTGTTGACCTCGAGTCTCATGATCTGTTTTTAATTCTTGAAAGCTTACTACCCTGAATTCTGTAACAGTCCCAATATCACACTGTTGCAATGAAGAGGTTTGATTTTTGTGGAAATAAATTTGTCCATTATCATTTGGCTCTGTTTTTGGCAACTCATCTATTCTGTCCTTCAGTGCTGTAATTACTGTTTCACTTGACTGCATTGCTGTGGTTTCGTTACTCTTCAATAAGTGATTAAGAAAACTCAGTCTTGAATTTATATCAGATATTGTTGTTTTTAATTCATCTATTTGTGCATCATTTACCTTCTTTTTGTTTTCATAGATTTTCTTCACTTTTTTTTTCATTTTGTCTCCATTTTTAAACATTTTCTTTACCATTTTTTGCACATGATTGTCAATATCTCTCAAACTTTTATTTTTATTTTGTCCTAATTTTGTAGCATTTTGAATAACTGCTTTGAGGCCATCTTCTAAATTGTTTTTGCAGCGGTGTGCAACTTTCAGTAACTCTACTGAAGTTCCTTTGAATGTCTTAAATGCTTCAGAAATACTGATTGGTTTGTGGCCTTCATACACCTTGTGATCCAGCAGTGTACAGTTTACACATATTGGAGTATTACAATCTGTGCAGTAGAACTCCAAAGGTTTGTTGTGAAGTAAACACAGTGGTGAGTGTAACAAAGCAAAGTCTTGAGGAGCCATTGATCGCACATCCTCCACTGTATGTAGCTTGTGATTTGCTGATACATGCAATGTTTTGTGATGGTCACTACAAGTGGAGCACAAGTAATGTCTACACTCCTGACAGTAATATTTTCCTTGTCTTTTTCCACAAACGCATTTCGTCTGATCTTTTTTGACAGTTTGTCCAATAGTTTCTAGTGCGTTATTCAGGAATGTATTTGGTGGAAGCTTCTGAAGTCCGCCCTTTGGAACGGTATATGATTCCAAGCAAGTTGGGCAAGTCAATTTACCCTTCACCTTAACCCAATCTTCAAGACATGCCAAACAGAAACTATGGAGGCATTTGAGGGTTTTAGGATTTTGAAGTCTCGTAAAGCAAATGGTGCATTGTAGGACATTCTCATCAAATTCTTCCAGAAATTGACTCAATTCACTGGTAGCCATCTTGAACCATTCCTGTGAAAATTACATTACTAATAATGTTTTATTAAGTAGAAGAAATATTTTTGTCTTTTCTGTATTCCTTTTCCTTATTTTTGTATTTTCAAGTGGCGTAGACCGAGGCGCAGGCAAAAGGGAGCTGCAGAAGGACATCAAGGAATTTCTACTATTACCCATCACTATTATGCAGAGCCAGGAAAAAGATACAATCCCTAGTTCAAAAGGCTACAGGGCCCCTTCTATGAAATACCCTGGAACTCTACTCTTGTAACACAACTTACGTTCAAGGGTTTCCAATGATTTGTTTGCACCCTCGTGCCCCATGACTCGTTGTTATGCTAGAGTGTTTTCATTTCAGTCATGGGACCCCATGCCTTTGAGTAGTCATACGAGGGGGCCCATTCACAGCAGATCAGCAGTATCATAGCGGGTAATAGGGAACCAAGTCAACTCGGCCCCATGTCAACTCGGCCCCAAGTAGTCAACTTGGCCCCAATTTTACTGTATATTTACAAAATAATTACCAAAAGAAATTTGAATGCAAAGCCAAACTATGGCAAAATTAAAGTGTTTTAAATTGTTGCCCTTGTTAATAAATAAATTTATATATGCTAATAAGGTTTAGTGCTCTCACTATTTGATATCATTGTAGAACTTTGTTAGGGTAGTTTTAGAGTCACTAAATTCTCACATTTGGGATTTTGGAATTTAGATAACAATTGTTTTGATGTTTTGGAATATGCATATCGCCCCAGAGGGCGTGCAATCATTAATCATGCATGCAACAACACCTAAAAGATAAAGATGAGCAACCCTGCCCATATGATGACCTTCGAGACCCTCCTGACTCGGGACGGAAGTATCTGACAGGGTCCGACCCGGCGTTACTGGGAGTTATGTAACATAATAAAATAACACAATTAAATAAAAAATAAATAAATAAAATAAAATAAATGAATAAATGAGGAGCACTATTTTCAAATAAGATTTCT